TCCTGATGTAACTTAAATGCCTATACATTTCTCTTGGGTGTGAAAAATACCCAATATCCCATAGTCCTTTTCTTTCCCTCCTTTCTAGAAACAGCCTTTCAGGGAGCCCTGTGTAGATGGTGCCCTGAATAATTACCTCCCCCCCCACCAATCAGCTGATTGGCAGAAAGAGTGAGGGGGAAATTTTCCAGCAGGACGAATCAACCAGTATCTTGCTTGTGACGCCATAAATATTTCTATAGCAGCACATATGCTGAGCAAATGGATGTCAAAACCATTTGTTACACCATATGAAAGGAAAAAGGGGTGCAATAAAAGGTGGTAATAAACTCTGCCATTTTATTGTGGCAAATGTCTATTACCTGTCTGGTGGAAAAATAAAAGCAGCCCCAGCTGTCCTGCCACCCCGGGCAGATGTTCTTGGGGTTTGAGGCCCTCAAGCCCCTGGAGCCCCTGCCTGCTTTCCCCACTTAGAGGCACCTTTGGGAATCTTGGGATGCTTCTCTATAAGGGCAGTTTGGGTTCCACACTGAGCCAGACCCATGATCCCAAATGCAGGTCTCGTTGGGTGAGGAAAAGCCCCAGTGTCAGTCAGACCTATGCCCCAAGCCTGGCTGACTAGGGACAGCAGGTACATCACATCCCGCACTGTCCCACACCATGGGGAAGACAAGGGACTATGCACGTTTCACTTGGTGAAGTGAAACAGCTGTACCACAGCACAATGTGGCACAACTCATCTGCTTTGTTGAGCAGTCTTTTTCTAGCCTAGGAATGGGTTCCCCTGGTGAGAGAATGGCCTCCCTGTGCTGCCAATAAGCCAATTGGTGGCAAGGGGTATTCTCCCTGAAGGGGTTTCCACCATGGCAGAATATCCCTTGCCTTGCACCACTGCTCCAAGTCAGCCCTGGCAGCAGGGCTCCCTAAGCCTTGCCAGTGTGTCACAATACCCCTACCTTATCCTACTGTGCTCTGGGTCAGTCAAGAGTGCAAACAGTTGGGGCTATTCTCTGTGAGGTTCCCACCATGGCAGAATCTACTTAACTTTTGCCAATCAGCTAATTAGTAGGAGAAGGGGAGGCACGTTCTCCCAATGCTGAAACTCTGTGCAGGCTGTCTGCAGCAGCTGCCAGCAGCCAACTGACAGCCTGTCCCCTTCCCAGGTAAGGGAGAGGGCAAGCTTTCAACTCATGGGTTCCTCTAGGGGCACAGGTGGCTCAGGGAGCAGCCTCCATGCCCCTAGCTGGAAAACATGCCTATGAAGCTCTCCAGCCATGGAGCTGAAATGTATGTACACTCCAGCTCCCAGGCTATTTTTCTACCAGTAAGAATTTCAGATACATGAATGTCTGTACACAGCCAAACTGTATTTTATATCCCATGGTGCCAGCTTAATTCAATTTGATCCATTCATTCTTTAAGCCTTAAAACACAGCATTTTGTGCCAATTTTGCACTTCTTGTATTCTAGGCCCAGCTCCTATCATTAATTAGACATGGGTACATGGTTAGATTAGAACTATACAATTTACATTCAGACTGTGCTGGACTTAGAACAGTTGCCACAGCCAAGCATAGCCAGGATAGCAAGGTTTTCGCCACACTTCCTTATCCCTCCATGACCCAGGGAAAACTATGCATTTCCTAGTGACTGGATGTACTGGGTGCACGTCCCTTATATACTAGTGAAGGGCTACTACAAAAGGACAATGTTGAAATAAGGTCTCTGTACCATGTATTTTACTCCCACCTATAAAATAATTATTATAATACCTTTTAGGGAAATGTCTTATAAAATTATAAAAAATTATAACCATACTATAGGGGTTTTTTTTATATAAACCTATGGCATTCCAAAGAGTTCTACCACTGTTATATACAGTATGTACAATTCTTTAAGATATTCCTGTACAAGTTACAGAAACATAGTATTCTAAATTCCACGTTTTAGGGTAAGTTATAAAGAACCACATTAGTTTTATGTAAGCCTATGCTGGTTTCATCTCTAGTCTATAGGACTTTTATATAAGGGTAACACTTTGACAAGAATATTTTGAATATATGAAAAAAGTGGTATTTTATTCTCAGTCACCAGACTCTGAGTTTATTTGCAAGGCACAATGATCACAAAAACAGAGATATTAATGAAAACTTCCTACTTGTTTCTGTTGGAATTCCATTACTTAATACTGACAAAAATCACAGCAGTATCTATATGCAGTCCAATTCTGTACAAAAAAAAAAAAAAAAAAATCAAGAAAACAT